TCACTCCCTCTCATATTCCCTTCCCTCTTTCCTCTCCTCAATCTCCCTCACCCTCCCTCTATTCATTTTCCAATCCTTATATATATACATATATATGTGAGAGTGAGTGTGTGACCCTCAAGAGCCAAAGAGAGAAGACGCCACAAACAGACACCACAAAGAGGACGCGTTTGTGGCATCGGAGTCTGAACCTTACGCCGAGAAGGACTGTTCCGTTCAATCATGGAGTGACATTTAGTTTCAAGCTTAATGAATGAATGATGGCGCGAGGGGGGGTGGGGTGTCGAGAGGCTGGGAGACGGGAGAAGGGGGGTGGCGAGGGAGACGACTGAGGGAGAGGGAAGAGGGAGGGAGGGAGGAGGGAGAGATAAAGACGGTCTATTGACACATACAAATCCATGTATTTTAGTGATATAAACATGTGCTTGTGGTATAGTAACCAAACTCGTGTTAACATGAATACACACACAAGTACTTGTAAGAATATGTAAACATACACACACCTACTTACGGTAATGCATATCGGCATTGGTACAGCCACTTATATACAAGCATACGCACACCCGTGCATTTGATTCAAACACACACACATGTTTACACGTATATACAAAATCAGACCTAAGAGTCACACAAGCACAGATTCTAGGGCATGAATACACAACCCCCCCCCCCCTTCCATTTCCCTCCCACTTGCATCATCGCACGCACGCACACACACACGTGTCAAATCATTGTCATATATATTTAGTAGGGTATGCGATATTATTCATGTTTCTTCTATTTCCTTTTATCTTCATTTCTTTTATTCAGAACCACCAGATATTCAACATACAGCTTGCAGTATGTTGACTCTGCAATCAGATAGCCAACCCATCTACTGAATCATGGATTTCATGACACCGGATGATGTTCATGCCATGAATTATTAACATATCACATTACCAAAACAGTATTCCTCTGGCTCCAACTTTGCTGACATCCGTATATGGTTATAATATTCCTAAATGATGGGCGAGGTGCAGAAGACCTAAAGTTTCAGTGTTCATCATGGAAAGTCTTGTTTCTACAGCGTTGTGATTTCAGAGACATATACCATACCATCATTATTGTCAATGTTCTTCCGTTACTACTGCATCTTCGTTCATATTTACGAAAGCCTCGCTGATTGGTGTAATTGTCACGCGACCTCAGACCGACCAGCGTACCATCGCAATGGAAAGGAATTTAGTTTGGCTGAGGAAGGCAAGGAAGAGAGAAAATGCAGAAGAGGGAGAAAAAGCAAGAATGCGAGTGGTCTGCATCCGCTCGATGACAAAAGTAGCGATACCGAAGTGCATGATCCGGTCTCCTGAATCGCAAGTCTAATGATTTATGGCCATTGGTGGCGGAGGACGGTGATGTCGGAGGATGGACGGTCGTCTCAGAGCAACAGATAACACCCAACAGAAAGTGACAGACACAGCAGCTGATAACAAATAGGAAAAAACTACTAGCAAGATTATTCATAAGCTGTACAAAGGCCTATCTTTACATGTAGACTAAATACACATCAAAGTTGCTATCTCCACCACAGTAAGTAGTTTACATGTCCTTGGCTGTGGTTTCATGGAATGATAGCCCGTATAAACTCACGAGTAAAATACTAGTAAAATATCTATAAACTGTGTTCTGTCATATTCCTACACCTTTTCTAATATTCTCCCACAAACATCAAATACCCAGACTCCCCGTGAACCTTTCTTTAAATCTGATTTCGTGAGTGGAAAGTTTTCTGAATATTGTTCTACTTTCAGGAAGATGACCGGTCAGTATGGAATGCTTCCCCAGTTACCGATTGTGAAAAGGAGCACCTGACAGCAACCCCCCCCCCCCCCCCGTCTGTTTAGTGAAACCCAGCCAGTCTCCAGTGTCCCTTTCACTAATCCACCAGCCAAAGTCTCCCTCTCGTATCCTCTCCACATTTCAAAACGGCCTCTAACCCTACGACCCAAAATCATGACCATGACGCATGATACCCCCCTCCACGGCCTTATCCATGACCAGCGTCCCCTTTCTTTTTTTTCTCCGTTAACAGTACCTGTAAGAAAATCATATTTGTGTGAAACCTCTGCGATGACCACGTGGACAGAGAGGGAGAATAAGTCATGAGAAATTCTAATAACATATTCAGTCTTTGCTGTCTCTTTCTTTCTCCCTCTTTTTCTCTTTTTCTTGTCCTGATGCAAAGGTTCCCTCCTCAACACCGCCCCCACCCCTCCCTCCTTCATCCCCACACTGCTAATATGGGAATGAAGCCTCTGCGGAAAAGGATTTCCTAGAAAAACGGGAAAAAAAACGAGCCAAAAGATCTTCCACCGAGCCGCCCTTGGGAAGACAGGATGGCCCGCCCCCACCCCCTCTACGTCACAGGTACCGTTGTCATCAGCCACTACAAACAACGAGCAAAAGCAAGAGAAGGACGCCACATGCTAAAAAAAAAATACAAGGTGCTGAACACTTCAATCCAGAAAAATGCAGGTGGCACCTTTCTTCTTAGTTTGAAAACAAATCGCATGGCCAATAGTACTGGTCCTCCGGGTCATACCTGGAGCGGCCGAGGATCGAGCCATGGTCAGGGAGGGTTGTTATTTTTCCACATCAATGTGGTATTACCTTTCATATATACTTAATTACATCTGACAGGATTGGACAGGAAGTCAATTTCCACCGAGTGCCACGGGAAGAGTGTGTATAACTTCGCTATCATTACTGTTCTACGAGTAGATAGGTAATGTCTATCGAGCTAGTGAGATCCTAGTTGCACATTCCTTTTAGTGTTTTTTGTGGTATGATTGGTTTAGTACTGGTCCTCCGAGTCGTACCTGGAGCGGCCAAAATATAGGGATAGAGAAATGGGGCCTCAATCATTCATGAACTTAGACCCCTTAGACTAAAATACATACATCCATACATGTATATATAAAGAAGTTAACAAAATGTCTGACACCACTAAATCACCAATAAGACTGGCGTTCAGGTCACACAACAACGTCATCAAAACTAATCAGCATCTCCTCGGTCACTTTAAAGACAATCATATGTGAGCATAATCTATGCATTATTGAATCACGGCTCCACTAAGAAATGTCAGATAGTTACAATAACATTTCAAGATTTCATGTGCAGGTCATGACGAACGTTGCATATGTGCGAACCATCCCCGCCAGGTGCAATATGTTTCTTTCGTTCACTCTTGGTGTAGTATATAGCTATGTCATTGTCGAATAATTTCCCTGAAAAAATAGGGAAATATCAACAGAAACGTTTTACCTTGAGTGATTTTAATAGATTAAATGCAAATCTAGTTCATAGAATGCAACAACTTACAAACAGACATATATGGGTTACAGATGCGCTTTGTCTGACCGCTTACTCAATACAAACGACATTTTATTCCAGATAGATATAGCATTGCCAGAGAATCGACGCAGTGACTTATCTTATTACCTAATGGCGCTAATGATCAAATTAATAGTTTCATGTCCCTGATAAAAATGGCATAGATGCCTCTATTCCTTAAATGACAAAAATTTAAGACGTCCCCTTGCTACATGACCAATAATTCTTAGAACTAATTTCCCCCAATCCCTTGCCCGTTGTTGTCGGGGGGGGGGGGGGGGGGGGGGGGGGACTGGGACCCAATGATGGGGAACTCCCCAACCTTGGGAGAAGACTTACTCGCCTGTCTCACAGACTATGATGCGACATCAGTACAATGCTACTCCATTCCTCCCAGAGGTCATCGAAAGAAACCCACTAACACCGCCAAAATTACTTTCCGTAGACATGACCTCCCATTTAATGTTTACATAGGTGGAGAATCCCTCCCTGTCCGTCCATACCAACCTCCTCCACGTCAGTGCCAAAATTGTTTGCGTCTAGGACACCCAGCTAAACATTGCCGTTCCACAGCCAGATGCCCACCATGTGCCCAACCTGGCCATACTCGATCAAACTGTTCTGCACAATCACGCACATGTGCCAACTGTGGTGGCCCTCGTAATGTATTTTATAGGGGCTGCCCCACCTACAAATTTGAGTCTGAGGTAGCACCTCTCAGATTCAAACTTGGACTCACACTACGTGAAGCCAGACAGGAAGCACGTCGACGAGGTTTTTCTCTTAATCCCTACTCCAGTAATATTGCTCATTCTACCACTTCCCCTACCTCCTAAGCACCTACACCCTCTCCTAAACCTACCCCCCCTCCATCTAACTCCCCCTCTTCTACCCCCTACCATCCCCAGTCAAACTCTTTTGCCATCCTAAATCCAGACACTCCAATCTCTATTACAGACACTCCAATCTCCACTACAACCCCAACACCTTCCCCTCTTCCTCCCCAGACACCAGTCTTCTCTTTCCCCCCCCCCCTCACAAGAAATCCTTTATCTCACAAAACTCCCCAACCAACTCCATTGAAGAAACTCTTGAAAATATTCAAGACTTCTTAATGAAAACTGACACTCATCAACCTTCAAATCCTAACGATATCCCCCCTACACCCTATCCTCCTACCCCCTCCCAACACAGCCCATCCCCCCCAACTCTAACCCCGCCCACATTAACCCTCCCACCATCCCCTCTATCCCTTCCACTCCCTCCTGGATACACACGTGAATCCCTTATGTCACAAGTATCCCCTTCCACACCCGTCTAACACACTGCTATCCGATGTCACAATCCGATCCACCCCTGTACTCCTTATGCAATGTCCCTCTTTCAGTCCCACACATTCTATTGTCATG